CAAAAGGCAGGGCAGAGTAAGGCAGAGTACGGCAGGAGGCAAGGGCCAGGGGAGGCCGGGGGGGCCAGGGAAGGCTAGCGAGGGCCAGGCAGGCGAGGTGGGGCGAGGCCAAGGGCCAGAGGCGGCTTGGCCGGCTGAGGCCCAGGGGGGGCCAGGGAGGGCCAGGAGGGCCAGGGGGGGCCAGGGGGGCCAGGGGGGGGCAGGGAGGGCCAGGATGGCGGAAACGCAAAAACAGTAGATGTCGAAGGGCATAAGCGCCGCCCACCATCGAAGGTGGGCGGCCTAGGCCCTGAGTTTAGGGTTTGGGGTTTGGGGTTTAGGGTTTGTGAAATGGGGGGTGAAGGTCGTAGGGCCGTTCTAGGGTATATTTCAGGATTTATGGGTTTAGAGGGTTTAGGGGTTTCGGGTTTAGGGTTTAGGGATTTGGGGTTTAGGGTTTAAGGTCAGTTTTTGATTTCGGGATGTGTGGACTCAAGGTTGTTGCAGGGGGGGGGGGGGGGCTTGGGGTTTGGGTTCAGAGATTTCGGTGATTCTGAAAGATGGGCTTAGGGATGTTTGGGGCTTTTGAGACCTTCAGGGTTTAGATTGTCGAGGTGTGGATAATGAGTCTGAATGGTATCTTCCAGCCCGAGCCTGGATCCTTGCATGCATCCGAAGGGACGAAGTAGAAGATCATTGGTAGGAGTTTTTTTGCGGAGTGGGTGCCCGCCCTTCCCTGGCGATCCGGCGGTATGCTTTAGAGCGTGGAAGGCTTAGACTGTTGTTGGGTGTTAGGATCTATATCGTTGTACACTAATGGGAACTAGATGGGGCTATTGTTGCTACGTATTCAGAGCTCGAAGCTACTGTAAGTTTCGATTGTGTTCGGTGCCTTCACAAGCCTTGATATACTCAAGCTCTTCTTTGTGGGCATTAAGCCAGAAATCCTGAACTTAAACCCAAAGATTTAATTAAATCCAAAGCCTTAAGCCCTTAATCCTCAACCCTAAACCCAAAGCCAAACCCTAGGCCCTGCTTGGAGGGTCGGGGGACTTTGTAACTGGTTATTTTAGGGACTTATGAGTACCATAATCCCAATTAGGGTCCCTTTTAGGGTACTTATATGTCTACTTACTACCTACTTACTAAGTCCCCCGACCCTCCAAGTGAGCCCTAAACCCTAAACCCCTAAACCCCTAAACCCTGAGCCCGAAAGCGCACGATTTGTTGAACAACGTCTTCACCCGCCGGTCTGCCGGGACGACACCCGCACAGCTTTCCACGGGTGCCGCAAACTCTCCGCAGATCTTGGAGGCTTTCAAAAGGTCCTATTCCTAAACCTTAAACCCTAAACCCTAAATCCTAAATCCTAAATCCTCAATCCTAAATCCTAAATCCTGAAAGCCTGAAGCCCTAACCCTAAACCCTGAAAGCTGGTAGTATGGCTACTGAAGAAGTCTGCTGGAAGCCTCCAGTTTCGGACTCTGCAGCTCCAGGTGCGCAACAACGTCCCACGATGGGGGCCGAAATAACTACTAATGCACTTAAAAGATCATGGGACTTAGTTACTAGGGTTATAAGTAAGGTAAGTATACACTTATAACCCCAATTAAGGTACTCATAACCTTACTTACTAAGTCCCATGACCCTCCAAGTAGGAACCTGATTACAGTAAACCTCATAAAGTTGGAAACCGGATTAAGGCCAAATAGTGCTGGGATTCCCTATACATTACTCTTCAGGATTGAGGCCATTGGGTTTCCAACTTTTGGGCGTGTACTACAAGAAACCATGGGTTCATAAACCCCAAATAGTAGGATTCATGCAATAAGGAACCCTAATACAGACCCAAGGTTTCTTAATCAGGTCCCTACATTTCCCTAAACCCTAAATCCTGGGTTTGATCTCTTACGGTCAGCCCGACATTGGGGTTCCATACAAGGCCCGAGCCAAACCAGTTCCCGAGTCGTGGGAGCATTCTCCGGTAGAGACAGGCTCAGTTTAGTTACCTTAAACCCTACCTTAACCCCAAATAACCTACCTTTTTAAGGACTCATATAAGGAAATCATGATACGGAACCTAAAATCGCGAGCCAAGGAATCCTTCGACAGTCCATGTTCAGAACATGTAACCCTAAACCCTAAACCCCTAAAGCCTAAACCCTAAACCCTCCGATTCCATGTCTTGGAGGGCCTGAGGGGTCTAAACGCAACAGCACCCCATAAGGAATAGTTCCCGAATAGTCTGGGCCTTAATTAGAGTGGGGATTTGGGGAATATAATAGTGTAATCATAATGAGGAAACCTTCTTAAGGTTTTGGTTTTATGGTTTTGTAAGCCTTGAACCGCAAACCCTAAAGACGGAACCCTAACTCTGCCCTAAACCGTGCCATCTGAGCTGCAGCACCGGGCCTCAATGAGGTATCGGGGTGGGCTAGCAGCATTTTCCACCGCTGCTTTTCCGAGCCCGCCATGTAGTCGTTGGGCTCACTTGGGCCTTGTGGGTTTCTTTCGAGATCCTCATTCCAAGCTCTACACCCTAAGCCCGAAACCTCCTCCCCAAGCCTGAAACAATACCCTAAGCCCTATACCCTGAACAAAGCCCCAAGCCTTGTGCTCTAAACCCTAAGTCGTAGGGTTCACTTGGGCTTTTTTTAGGTTCGAGATCCTTAACTCTACACCCTATGCGTTTAGACCCTCAACCCCGAGTCATAGGGCTCTGGACATTTAGGGTTGCCTCGGGACTTTGTGGGTTTGTGCGGAAGATATTAGGGCCTGCTTCAGGTTGCTAAGTACACGTGGGTGGTTGTCAAAATTATGGGCCCTTTTGGGGTCCATAATATAGTACGGCACCCAATATTTATGGTACCCAAAAAGGACCCTAATATTGACAACCACCCACATGCTTTGCATCTCTTTTATAGGTGCCTATGCAGTTAGAGTAGCAATCTACCGCAAAACCCCATCCCAAGTTTGGAAGGCCCCATATCACGCAGGCCCTTGCCGTTTGCGCTACCATGTCGGGCGTGGAGCCTCCAGAAGGGGGTTCTAGATTCTAGAAGGGCCTTCCAGGGATTTTGGAGCCAAGGATGCAGCTCATACTCCAAAGGCTGTTCTGGTTTTCTTTATCTCCCTACGAATATTGAACGCACATAAATTTGTGGAACAGCATCACAAGCGATACTAGGCAATCTCAAAGACACACGGCCGCGAAAAATTGTCGTATTCGTCTGAGTAATTGCACAAAGCCATGATGGAAGAAACATGTCGCAAATCACATCATGCGTGCATACAGCATCAATCATTTGTAAACACGAACTGACACCGCATGAGCCTCCTCAACCCCATGTTCTATGTAAGCCTTATCAGCAGGAATGGGGAGTTTCCGAAAACAAGGGTTTTAGGGCTTAGGGGGCAACGACGACAAACCAAAGAAAAGAGCGCTTTAACATTGTCAGTGTTGGGGATGGCGGTTTAGGGTTTGGGGTCTTAAACCAAAAGGGGCTCAGTGTTTAGGGTTTAGACCCCATGGTATACCTTAAACCCTAAACCCTAAGTCCTAAACCCTAAACCCTCAGCACGACACCCTCATGCCTGAATCCACGGTCTCGACTCGACAGCATGTCGTTTCTCGAGAGAGCCGTTTGACACCGAATCCGGTTTGCAGGAGGGAGCGGTGTTAACATAGGGGCCTGAATAATAACAACAGTAATAAAAAGAATGAGAAGAAGAATACTAATAATGCTAATAATAGTGATAATAATGAGGTTATGGGCTCCTTAATACTATAGGTATATTAAGGAGCCATAAGGCTCCTATTGGTAATTTATTTAGGCTTGTACGTTATAAATGTGAGAGTTTCGAGGATCAGTTAAGGGTCGAGGGTTTTGGGGCTGAGGGTTTAGGGTTAGGGGCTTTAGACAAAAGATTCCGTCATAGACCTCTGTGGGAGGGTTGTAGGCTTGGGGCATCAGGGTTTAATATAGAGCCTTGGATACGTAGTGAGGGTCACATGCCTTTATGGTCCATGCAACAGAGGCTATGCGCAAAGCCTGCCTTTTGTATTCATTCCCCTAGGCAGGTTTCTGGGTTCTATAAAATTTGTTGGTGTTTAGGGCTTTATTGCTTGAGCCTTCAGTTTATTGAGCCCAACACCAGCAGAGTTTAGGTGTATCGGTATCTCGCTGCTAGAGGGTTCGAAGGGTTCAGATAAGAAGTTTTATAAGGGCTTGATTAGGGGGCAGAACACGCAGCAATCGGGTCCCTTAAGGTTCGAATCCTAGTCATTAGAACACACCAGATGCTTCCATCAGAGCCTTCCCTTCTGCAGCAGTCGCTTTGAGCTTGCTTCCATTGCGACATTCCCCAAGGGAGATGCTGAAAATCAGGGCGGGTGTCACAGATTGTTAACAGGTCCCAAAACAGGAGACAAACGGATTCGCACACATTGTGGGGTACCTTCTACTTATCTTGGAACAAAGCACTGAGACCGGGAGTTTGCTGAGACTTTTCCGTTCAGAGGTGTTTGGGTTTCTGGGAGTGTAGCTAGCCGTGGCCGTGGTTGAAGCCACCACCCTTAAGGTTCAAGGTCGAGCCCCAAGCCCCAAAAGCCTGACAGTAAACCTGAGAAATCCTAGTCCTATAGGCCTCAAACCCTACAGCAGACCCTAAGTCCAAACTCTCAACACCTTTTTGCCCTAGGCTCCAAATCATGGTCGCAGATCCGAAATCCTAAGCCACAAGCTTCTAAGGCCTGAAATTCACAGCGCCCAAATCCTGGAAAGACCGCAGTTTCACCATTCCTCGATGCCTTCTCTCTGCCGCCTTCTGTCCGCCACGATCCAGTGGTTTCTGGAACTGCAAAGCTTTCCTTTGGGGCGAAGGAGTATCAAAATCGTTGCGGCTCTATTTCAGCCGGATTTAGAATCAAGTTGGTGTAGTCTAGAGACGGCTCTTCTGAAATTGGGGTCCTGATGTTTGGATAGTGGCCACTTGGACGTTGCGTCTTCGATTCCGTCGCAATGCCCGGAGCCCTTTCGCAGCTGGCAGTGGGCGCCGTGCGGGACCCGGATCTTTACGGGGGTTTCTTAAATCTGCAAAATTGCCTGCATAAGGAAAAAGACATAGAAAGGTCAGCCAGGAGCAGCCTAGGCTAAACCGGCAGTACTCGCTACGAAACGAACTCTCAAAAGACAGAAGATGGCAAGAGGACAGATGTTCACACCGATTCCCACCAATGAACATGTTCCCTTAAAACCTAGGCCCCAAAACCTTAAGTTCCCAAACCCTTAGATCCTAAGCCCTAAACTTTCAAACCGCCCGATTACCCCAAAGCCGAAACCCCAAAACCTCTGAGGAGGCAAGCCCTAACACCGTGAACCGAAAACCCTAAACACCTAAAGCCCCAAAATCAAGCCCCAAGACTTAAATCCTAAACCCAAAGCCCTTAAACCCTAAGCCCTAAACCCCAAACCCAAAACCTAAAACCCTAACCCCAAAACCCTAAACCCCAAAACCCTAAACCTAACCCCCTAAACCCAAAACCCTAAACCCAGAACCCCTAAACCCCAAAACCCCAAGACCCTAAACCCTAACCAGACCTAGAAAAACCATCCTTTTGGGTTTCCCGCAGAGAGCCGAGGACTTCCCGGTGCCTGCGCCGGGCCTCCGCCGTCTCGCCGCCGAGGTGCCGTCGACAGAGGCTTATTTTGTGTTTGCGGTTTGGGGTTTAGGGTTTGGGGAGTAGGGTGGGTTTAGGGTTTGGGGTTTAGGGTTTAGGGTTAAGGGGGTTTGCGGTGTTTGTTCATCGGTAATTTTTGTATACAACAGTCGTTTGTGATTGCTATTGAGCTAGTATTGCAAGTTGTTGTTTGGGGTATTGTCAGGCTTTAAGAGTTTAGGGTCTTAGGGGCCCAGGGTTTAGGGCGCAGGTTGGGGGTGAGAGAGTGAGCAAGCTATAACACCTGCAGCATCCTACAGCACAGACAAGTGTATGTGTATTTACCCAGGTGTATGTGTGTATCTGTCTATCTATCGACTTATCCATCTATCAATCTATCTTTCCATCTATCCATCCACGCATCCATCCATCCATCCATCCATCCGTCCATCCGTCCAGCAATCTCATATGCACACCCACGTATATATATATATATATATATATATATATATATATATATTATACACATACATACACACACACATACATATACAGGTACATGTACAAATACACATACATATGCATATACATATGCATATACATATACATATACCTATACATGTAGATACGCATATCTCTCTCTCTCTATATATATATATATATACACACACACCTGCGTAAGATAGATAGATAGATAGATAGGTAGATAGGTAAATAGGTAGCTGAGCAGATAGACAGACAGATAGTTAGATGGGTAGATAGACAGGCACATGGGTAGGCGTACATAGATAGGCAGATAGACAGATAGATAGGTAGATATGTAGATAGGTAGATCGTATATGCACATGCGTGTGCATATGCACATGCGCTGGTCCGTGTGCGCACTCGTGCGTGCAGTATAGCTAGTGTGGCTCATTTTCTAAGCCCAGAGCCCGTAAACGCTAAACCTTCATCCGTTGTTGTGCATTTTTGTCGCGATGTGTTGAACTAGGAACAACGCAGTAACCTGCCTTGAACTGCACCCTGGGTTGGGATCCCAGATTGAAATGAAGAGGCCCCAAAGTAACCCAAACTAGAGGCCAGAAAGTTGCAAAACCACCATACTCATGCCAACAAAGTGTAGAACAATTCAATAGTACCAGCCGTAATCCTACGCTAAATATCCCCGGCCATCTTGCTTTTAAAGCTTGCGATAAACCCTGTGGTCCATCGCCGTCTTCATCCTCGGGCTCCAGCTGTGGGGGCGCGGCTACTAATCGTGCTCCATCCACCTTCCATGGTTTGGGCTCACTAGAGCCTTTGGGGCAACTCGGCTGCTTCTCGCTGCCCCTTGGGGGTTCCTTTGAAGAGATCCTTTCGGGGTTCCTTTACGGGTTCCTTTAAACTACAGGCCTCCTTTAGGGTAGTCAGGCTTCAGGGTTTAGGGTTTCATTAGGGGGGTTCGGTACAGAAGCTCAAGACAGGAGAATGGCATTCTGGGGTATCTTAAAGTATAACGACACAGCGGCTCCGAGGTGATGTTGCTACTGGTGGCTCATGCCTTTCTATTGGTGTTGAAGCTTCAGGATGGCAGGGTTCAGGGCTGAAGGTTTTTGGGCTGTTTGGGCTTAAGGTCCTCTTACCTTTGGTTAGTAGGGAATGGAAGAATGGTAGTAATATGAATAGTAGTTAGAATTGTCCCCCATTCCCAAATTCCCTAGTGCGGGGTGTTCAGTGCCCTAAACCCTGAGGCCCAATACTCCTTAATTAACGAATACCTAGATTAAGGAATAGCTTAAGTCATAATATGAAAACCATAGCTTCTAGTTAGAGGTATATTCCTTAATTAAGGGGTAATTGGGCTCTCTGGGTCAACCCTAAGGCCCTAAACCCTCAGCCTTCGGGGTTTCGGGCTTAACGGGGGCTCTGGGCTGCAACTTTGCGGCCGGTTTGGGGGTTCGGGGCTACTTCTACGCAGAGACCCAGAGAGCCCAAGACCCCTCAATTAAGGAATACCCTAAGCTATAAGGGGGTTCATATTCTGGGTTTTTTCTATATTCCTTAATTAAAGGGAACTCCAGAAAGTTGGAATATGGATTAATGGTAGGATCCCCCAAAATTTACCTTAAAGGGGTTACGATAATGATATTCCAACTTTCTGGCTTCTACTGTAAGGGGTCTCTGGGGACTTGCAGCATCGAGCACCCCCACGCCTCAGCCTGGGTAGCCTTTTGGGTTTCGGCTCTACCCAGAGCCTCCAAAACCCCTTAATTAAGGAATATACCTTAAACTATATTAGGGATCCTATTATGATTTAAGGTATATTCCTTAATTAAGGGGTTTTGGAGGCTCTGGGCTCGAAACTTCATGCACTAGGGGGCGTAGAAACTTAGGGTTTTGGGGTTTAGGGGTTGCTGGATTTCAGGGTTCAGGGTTTTACGGTTTAGCTTTTGGGTTTGAGGGTTTGCGGCTATCCAAACCATACGTCCGAAGCTTTGCAGTGGCGTTGCGGGCGGACTTGGGGCTTTGATGGCTGTCTGAGCACAGAAGAGTCTTCAGTTCGTGCCGCGACGGACCTTGGGGTGAGGGATCGGTGATAGTTTAGGGGGCCTGAGGTCCCGAATACCCTTAAAGTGGTTGTGTCTATATCATTCCTAACGGATTTAATAGGGAAACCTTAGAGACACCCGAATCTTACTGTTCAGGCTTGTAGCTGAAGCTTCCCATCGCCGAAGCCTTGAGAATCATCCTGGTCCCTTTCTCGTCACCCAATGCCCAGCCTCAACACCCGCACCCAACTTTAACTTTAATTTTGGACCAACATGCCAGAAAGAGCAATAGCCATTAGCCCACAGCACTGCTCGCCCGCCCAGGAAGCGAACCACAGAGAAAGGAAAGCTCGAAGAAGCAGCGGGCAGCGGCAGCAGCAGCTTGAGAGCAACATGGGGCATGCTTGAAGGATGGTTTAGTGTTTAGGGTTTACTTGAGGTATCAGGGAACTTGGTAAGATGAGAGTCTTCCAACTACTCGCAAATCGCAGCTACGGCTCAGAGGTTTGAGCTTAAGGTTTAGAGGTACGGCTCAGAACCGCCCCACGCCAGCAGCCCAGCCCTGGCATAATCGAACACAAGGTTCCAACGAAAAGCATTCGTTCAAAGCATGCGGTTGAAGTGTTCGCCCGAAACCTATAAAACCAACCCCCTAAGCCAAACCTTTGAAGCCCCAAACCCTGAGCCCCAAACTCAGAACCTAAACCCTGAACCCATGAACCCTCAAACAGCTCAGCTTTAAACCAACATGCTTCTTCGGAACCCTGCAAAAACCTGTAGTGACATTAAGAGCTCCTTTAAAATGAAGCACATATTGTGCAGCACAGTTTTTGCTCGTGTTCCGAGTTTGTATGGCGTATGTAGATACTAGATGTCAAACACCTGTGCAACGGTTGATGATATAATTTCTGCATGACCCATAATAGGGAATATACCATAATTCCCATAGTTTAGGGTCCTTAAGGTAATGCAGGCTTTCTATCATCAACGGAAGCACCGAAACGTAGCCCTGTACTATCGCCGAAGACCTGAACACCCCAATGTCAGCAGGGTACTACGTGTACTTAGAGGATCATGGGACTTAGTAAGTAGGTTATAACTGGAGTTATAAATCCCCTAAGTGGGGTTACATCCTACTTATAACCTACTTATAGCCTTCCTTGCTAAGTCCCATGATCCTCCAAGTAGGGTTCTGCAATCGCGCTTAAAATTGAAGGTTTCCATCAGAGCCCAAGGGTTTGTCGGTCTCGAGGATGAAACCCCCTATAGACCTATAGTCTCCTTAGGACCCTAGGCATTGTTTTCTTTAACTATCAGAAATAGTACTTTTATTAGGGTTCTAAGGGGGTATAGTATAGAACTCCATATCATCTCAAAGCGAAACCTTTAAATCTTTACCGCATAAGGTTCCGGCTTACACGAAACAAATTCGCCAAGACCTTTTGGAGCCTATGCAGAAGCTGCAAACCGTACATCCCAAACCCTAGAACATTGCAGAGTCGAAGCAGAAACCCCTACTGAATTTCCAAGGAGTTGAATGGTGTTTGTCACGGGGAGCCTGGATGACTTCAGCGGGCCCCCGACGCCTATTGGAGCTGAACACGAGGGGTTTGTAAGGTTTTTGTTTGCTTGTTCGTCCCTAAACCCTAAACCCTAAACCCTAAACGGTTTCGGGCTTATAGTAGGGGCTTTGGGTTTGCGGTGTAGGGTTTTGAGGTTAGACGGCTTGTTTTCACGACTATAACTTTCAACCTGCCTACTTCGCAAGCTCATGGGTGTTATGAGGATTCTGCAAGGGCTATGAGTATTGCTACTGACATTCTGGTATATAGTAAAGGTTTAGTATAAGTTTAAGGATTGCGACGACGGTTCTTAAGAGTTTTAGCAGGCAGGTTCGCAAGCGCTATACTCTCAACCCCGAACCCACCCTCATCCCTTAAGATCCTAAACCCTAACAGCCTATTCCCTGAAAGCCTGAAACCCTAATCCCTGATCGCTGTTCGAGCTTTGGGCTTGTAGGGGCGAAGGGTTGTGTTTTCGGAATCGCCTTGATGGGATTCTGTGGGTTCCAGGCTGAGTCTAGGGTTTTGGGGCTTGTGGGGTTTCGGGGTTTGGGTTTTTGCAGGTCTTGGGGGCAGAGGAGCTTAGGGTTCATGTGGAATAGCCTTAAGTCCTGAAATGTAGAAGGTTGATGCGCGCGGACTCTCGGACCAATCTCTATTCTCTGAGCCTCGTGGCAAAATCGCCCTGCAACCTTAAAGCCCTAAACCTTCGAGGATTGGGGATGCAGTGTTTGGAGGGTTGCGAAAGTTTAGGGATTAGGGTGTGGTCAAGAAGAGTTTAATTCTATAACCATCAAATTGCAAGCTTACGTGAGCTGCCGTCCAACACCCAAGCCCTAAACCGTAGACTCTGTACTTTAAGCTTTGAGACCCCGAATAGAAAAGTTAAAATCCTAACCCTAAACACCAAACCCTTAGACTTTAAACCTTCCGAAAG